TTCCACTGTTTTTTTTCTTCAAATCGTGACATCAGCTGGAGCTTTAACTCTTTAAGTAGTCGAAACAATGGGGTGTGGATTTTCGTTTGCGTCCAAGGTCTCGGTTTGAATTTGAGATTTTTTCTTTTATGGGTAAGAAATATCTTAATAACTAAAGTTATCAAATCACCGATAACTCTTAAACCAAAAATGAATTCGTTGCAACGTTTCCTTTCTTAATGTTTTGAGCAAGGATTTCTTTCCTTGTTGCTATAAGTGCGGCTGCATATGATCGTTTTGATCAAAAGGCGCTTATGGCTGTAAACTTTCTGTGGACGCCTCCTCATTGACGTCAATCTTTTGCATTAATGCTGCGAATTTGATATGCATAGCACGTCACTGTTTTTTGAGTTGTATGCCTGCACTGAATATCATCATTGAGCTTGTTGGGTTGCATCGATACCAAGATTTTTAGCCAAGAATTATCTCTGGAAAATTGTACACTTTTCAAATGCTTTTTTCAAGTGATTTATGGTAGATGTGCTAGGAAAATATATCAGCTAGTGTATAAAGTCAAAAGAAATGAATGGATAACAGCACTGAAGAATGAGTTCTTGCTGTTTTCGCATAATTAGGTCTGCATACTGAGACTGTAAGGGATTGCTGTTTTGTTCTTAATTTTTTTCATACAAGCAACCTATGCGCGAATTGGAGTCAGAATGAAGCTTGCCGTAAATCATACTCACATTTTTTACAAGATAAAGTTGAAAATTTGTCTAATCCTATGTCATGTATGCAGAAATTTCCAGAAATTGGCCAACTCCCACAACTTTCGTCCGAGTTGTGTGCTGCATTGCATGTTGTCGGGCCACCTTCTTCGTTTGCAACCATTGCAATTGCGAAAACATTGCTGGCAAAGTGAGTGACTTTATTCAGCTAAGCACATCAAAGCCGTTCAAAATATCCTTAAGATATGGCGATTTGCTGGAAAAGAAGGAGGCGATGGAAAGCGTCGACGAATCCCATCATGTAGATAATGGCCATGATAGAGACGAAAGAAGTGATAACGCCAAGGTGGGATACATCAAAAACGGTAGCAAAGGTACCACGCGCATTTTTGAATAAATGAGGAATAAAGACAAAACACTTCCACTAGTTGTACTTCAAAATATCAGTTGAGAAAGCAAGCACTTTGATCGCGTGTAACTCATGAATGAGCTCAAAATTCAGGTAACTCAGTTAGGAACATATCTGATATATGACTATGGCACACAAGCTTCTGAGTTTGAAAAAAACCCCTTTGTTTGCGAGTATGTATTATACCGTTAACCTAGAAAGCACGGAGAATAACCAGTCTGATTTGATTTGGAAAAACATCGGATGTTATACCGAAGCTTGCTCTATCCGTCTAGTAGCTGGCTGTTTCCATGAGCTCAACAGGAACTTTAAAACAAGCAGAATACAAAATTCATTAGATCGGAACATAGAAAATTGCAATTTTGGAGGTTTGATGCTTGCTAAATCAATACAAAATAAGAAAAATAAGATCTTTGCTGGACAGTCAATACGGTAGTTGATCGCGGAGGTATGACTTTGCAGAGTCAAATCAAATGCGAAAATTGAGATGTTTACAGTAATGCCTCACTTTTTTATTCACTCATTTTGGGATAAGGATCATGAACTTTTCTATAAGTTGTCAAGGGAAGCTTTAGCAGAACCATGTGGTATATCAGAAGTGAAGGAGTAAATGGGCTTGTTCATGCAAAAGGGACGGAAGTCACTGCTTTCTGCATTAGGCAAAAACAACAACAGCCATAGGATCTGATCAAATAAAAAGGCTTGTTTTCCAGTGCTTTACCACTATGTGTTTAGACTGATCAACTAGTATGCGTTGGTATGTCCTGTGTGTTTGACATCTTACGACAATTGAGCCGTAGAGATCCAGAGCTATGCGTACAAGCTTTGAACTCACTCATGGCTTTATTGCAAGTAAGTGGCAATGCACCAGTCAAGGATTTTTTCCTTTCTTTTTTCAAAGTAATCTAAGTTTTGACTTACAGAACCTGCCAGTAGATAGTTTACGTAGTGAGCCGAAGCCTTCAGTTGA